CTCGAACCGGTGGGCTCAGGCAATCCACTCACCTCAGCCTCCCAAGGCACAGGATTACAGGCTGAGCCACCGAGCTCGGCTATCCCTCCCTATATTTAGTTAAAAGAATGAAATTCTGAGCCAAACTGGGTATGGTGGCTCACACCTATAATCCTAGCACTTTGGGAGACTGAGGTGAGAGGAGTGCATGATGGTGCCTGCCTGTAGTTCCAGCTACTTAGAAGGCTGAGGCGGAAAGATCACCTGAGCCCAGTAGGTCGAGGCTGCGGCGGCCATGAGCGTGCCACTGCACTCCAGTCTGGGCAACAGAGTGAAACTCCAACTCAAAAAAAAAAAAAAAAAAAAAGAAATTCTGAGCCAGGCACGGTGGCTCACGTCTGTAATCCCAGCACTTTGGGAGGCAGAGGCAAAAGGATCGCCTGAGCCGGGCTCGGTGGCTCAGCCTGTAATCCCGCTCCTTTGGGAGGCTGAGGTGAATGGATTGCCTGAGCCCGCGGGTTTGAGACCCGCCTGGACAGCGAGACCTCATCTCTACAATAAATCAAAAGATCAGCCGGGCATGGTAGTGCATGCCTGTAATTCCGGCTACTTGGAAGGCTGAGGTGGAAGAGTCGCCGGAGCCCAGCAGGTCGAGGCTGCGGTGGCCGGGAGCGGCCACTGTACTCCAGTCTGGGCGACAGAGTGAGACTCCAACTCAAAAAAAAGGATCGCCTGAGCCCACGGGTTCGAGACCAGCCTGGGCAACACAGCGAGACCTCATTTCTACAATAAATCAAAAAATAAGCCAGTCGTGGCATGGTGATGCATGCCTGTGGTTCCAGCTACTTGGAAGGTTGAGGCGGAAGGATCACCTAAGCCCAGTAGGTCAAGGCTGCAGTGGCTGTGAGAGTTCCACTGCACTCTAGGCTGGGAGACAGAGCGAGACTTCAACTCAAAAAAAGAAAAGAAAAGAAAAGAAAAGAAAAGAAATTCTGATACATGCCACAACATGGATGAATCTTGAAAGTATTATGCTAAGTGGAATATACCAAATATATAAGGACAAATATTGTATGTTTCCACTAATATGAGGTATCTAGAAGAGGCAAATTTAAATAGACAAAGAATGGAATAGAGGTGATCAGGGGCTGAGGGGAGGGAGGAATGAGTTACGGTTTAAAGGGTACAGTTTCAGTTTGGGATGATGAAAAAGTTCTGGAGATAAACAGAGGTGATGAACAGCATGACTATACTTAATGTCACTGAATGGGTACACTTAAAAATGGTTAAGAATGGCTGGGCTCAGTGGCTCAGTTTGTAATCCCAGCACTTTGGGAGGCCAAGGTGAGTGGATTGCCTGAGTCCACTGGTTCAAGACCCACCCGGGCAACTTGGAGAGACCTCGTCTCTATAATAAATCAAAAATTAGTCAGGTATGGTACCACACGCCTGTAGTTCCGGCTACTTGGAAAGCTGAGGCAGAAGGATTGCCAGAGCCCAGCAGATCAAGACTGCAGTGGCTGGGGGTATGCCACTGTACTCCAGTCTGGGTGACAGAGTGGGACTCCAACTCAAAAAAAAAAAAAAATGGTTAAGAAGGCAAATTCGCTGGGCATGGTGGCTCACCTGTAATCCCAGCACTTTAGGAGGTGAAAGGTGAAAGGACTGCTTAAACTCAGTGGTTCGAGACCAACCTGAGCAATATGGCAAGACATCATCTCAACAAGCCAAATCAAAAAAATTAGCCAGGCGTAGTAACACAAGCCTGCGGTTCCAGTTATTTGGAAGGCTGAGGCAAAAGGATCACCTAAGCCCAGCAGGTTGAGGCTGCGGTGGCCATGAGTATGCCACTCCACTCCACTCCAGCCTGGGCAACAGAGTGAGACTCCAACTCAAAGAAAAAAGAAAAAAAAAAGAAAGGTAAATTCTATGTTATGTATATTTTACCATAATTTACAAAATGTAGACAACATAGAATATATCTTTTTCTTTTAAATCAAGGGAAGAAAATTGAAAACTATTTCTTTAAGAACATCAAAGTGACAGAAGACAGTGTGATCTATAGCCAAGAATATTATAATTAGAGGTTAGTTTTTACAGTGACCTTGCAAAGGACATGAATATCTTCATGGTAGTACACCACGAAGTCACTAAAGTTTGAAAAGTAGATTCCAATTTCTTTTATAAATTTCAGTCTTGCCATTCCGAGGTAGCTAAAATCAAATAAAAACAAACATAATTTTGTCTTCTTCCAGATTATAACAAGGAAAAAAGCTAATGTATTTATATCAAGAAGTAAAATCTACTGTAGTGGTTTAGTAAATCTCCTGGTAGTTGGTCATTTTTTAGAAATGTTTAATCCAGGTACAGTGGCTCACGACTATAATCCCAGCACTTTGGGAGGCCAAAAGCGAGAGATTGCCTGAGCCCATGGGTTCGAGACCAGCCTAGGCAACTTAGTGAGACCTCTACAATAAACCAAAAAATTAGCTGGGCGTGGTGGCACGTGCCTGTAGTTCCAGGTACTTGGAAGGCTGAGGCGAAAGTATCACCTAAGTCAAGCAGGTCGAGGATGTGGTGGCCGTGAGCATGCCACTGCACTCTAACCTGGGCGACAGAGAATCCAACTCAAAAAAAAAAAAATTTTCAGTATATATGTCTGGATGGTAGGTGACATTTTTATTCTATCATTCTGGTATTTTCCACTTTTTAAATAAAGAGAATTCATTGAGACAGTATTATGTAAGCAAAAAATCTAGGAGTCACCTGATAGTTATCTTCCTCCCTCATATCCAAGAAATCAGTCCTGTAAGTTTTACATGCTAAACAACTCATATCAATTTATTCTTCCCTATCTCCACCAATACTGACCCAGTGTAAACTACCTAGATTGCTAGAATAGCCTCTTTATTTATTTATTTTTTTTAAAGATGAGGTCTCATGTTGTTGCCCAGGTTGGACTCGAACTCCTGGGCTCAAGCATCCTCCCACCTCACGCTCCCAAGCAGCTGAGACTACAGATACATATCAATAAGCCTGGCTTGCAAGAACCTTTTAATTAGTTTCCCTGAATCAACTTTTGTTCTCATCATTTCTTTTTCCACTTTGCAGTGATCTTTTTTTTTTTTTTTTTGAGTCAGAGTCTCACTGTCACACTCACAGCCACTGCAGCCTCAACTTATTTGGCTCATGTGATCTTCTGCCTCAGCCTTCCATGTAGCTGGAATCACAGGCACATGCCACCACCCCTGGTTATTTTTTATCTGTTTATTGCAGAGACAAGGTCTCACCAAGTTGCCCAGGCTGGTCTTGAACCCCTGGACTCTGGCAATCCTCTCGCTTTCACCTTGCAAAGTGCTGGGATTACAGATATGAGTCACCGCGCCCCACTTGCAGTGATCACTTGCTCAAAAACTTGCTCTTAGGATAAGCTCATTACTTCAGCATATATATAAGACCCTGCATCATATGGCCTTACCTACCTTTTCAACATCAGTTTAAGTCATGCAACATTGCTTTTCTTTTGGTGCCTCCACACTGACCACAGGGCCTTCAGGGCCTTTACAGAGGCGATTCCTCTTGTCTGTAATGTTCTTTCCTTTCCCTCTTTAGCTGGTAAATTCCTACCCACATTTAGGATCACATTTCAAGCATCTCTTCTTCAGA